TTAATTTAATTATATTAAACTAGATAAAAGGATTTAAAAAACAAAACACATACAGGATAATTATTTGATATTGTCTCAAGTACCACAACAATTGCTCATTCTGCTCTAACTTTCATTCTTTGATAACTACTGCTCTAGTTTAGTCAGTGAGTGCCTTGTGAGAAATCAATGTTTTCACAAGAGAAGTCTATTTAGTGTATTGTAATTACTAATTCGATCAAAGTCTTAAGATCGAATTAAGTTCACAATTTTTTTAAGAAAAATATTTTTGAAGAAGCCAAACTAGCGGGCTTAAATATTAAAATATGTGTAAGGGAAATGAATGACTATTGTCTTTGTTAAACAATACGAGAAGAAAGCCTTTTTAATTTTGCAATTTTTTTGTGAACAAAGGCAATTTTAAGGTTGGAAAAAGGAATTGAATTTAGTTTATTGGATTGAGACACATATTGTTAACTAATCAACTTATAAGATCAGGTGTGTTTTAATTTTATAATTGATTAAATTGCAATATAATAAACTAATTGGATTTTGGTTGTAAAGACTATTGCTTTTCATGTTAAAATTTCGAAAACCCAAAACCAAGCTTACAATATGATTTACTGGTTCCACTGGTATAAGTCTTCAAGTTATAGAAGAAACCAAACAGTTCCTTAGTTTCTACATTCTAGAGGGTACTGAAACTCTACGCTCAAGACCAAGAGTCAAGACGAACGTTTTGCTGCAACAATGCCCACACCTTTCCAAATATACAATTCAGTGGTATTGGGTATCATCTGGCTGATATTGATCAAAAGGATACAATTTCAGGTATTTTCTATAGTCCTTGTACTTTAAAATTTTGCTAACTACCTTCCTTTGTATTCTTATGTTGTTCATAAGCATCCTTCTGTTACGGGGTATCTGTCTGTCGGATCGGTCCTACTCCAAAAAGAATAGTTACTAACATCCTTCAAACTTAATAACGGAGTCTACTTTCCACGTGTCAAAAGGACAATCCGTGATTTGCATTTTCATATCTTGAGTTTAATACTCCTCACTAACACTTTTAACATACTAACTCTAATCATTGTCTTTATCAAAAATAAAAAAATAAAAAAATAACAGAGTCTACTTTCTATGATTACTCCTCCTGACATCAGATTTACTTGGGATGCGATTGGCTAGCACAGAATGATTTCAGGTTAAAAATATTTTTCATTTCATAAATTATTTTTTATTATTTAAAAAATTAAGCTTCACTTGTATGTAAATTTTACATATTTGATTTATATGAAATTTTAATTATTTATTTTTTTACTTTTAATTATTAAAATTTTTGATTTTTTTTTTTGAAAAATAATTATTTTTAATAAATATAATAAAAAATAAATAAATTTTAGTTATTGAAAATGAAAAGAGAAATATTTAAATTTTTTTATCAACAATGAATATTTAAACTTTTGTGTAAATGTAATGTATAGAAGTTATATGTAAGTGTATTTTTATTCTTGTTTGAAATATTAAAAAATATGTTTTTTATTGTTTTCCATGTAAACAATAGGAAATCTTTAAATTTTCCAAAACATTAATCAAAGATAAAACAATGGAGCTTTTTTCTTTTTCTTTGATATTTAATATCTAATCCCATATCTCATTCCCTATCAAAAACAGCAAGCACAATCAGTTAAACATTTGCAATTAGCAGATTAACAATGCACTTTCTTGGAAAGAACTTTCGAATTTTGTGCTGTTAACCCCTCTCCCCTTGCTGACCGTTGTATGAAAACCATTAATCATGTCCAGTGGGAGACACCCCCCTTGGGGTGGGTTAAACTGCACACTGATGGTTGGGCTATCACCAATCCTGGGCCGGCTGCTGCTAGTGGTATTATCAGAGATCACCCGGGGCATTGGATTTCTGGTTTCACCAGAAAAATTGAGCATACTTAAAGCCTTGCTGCGGAACTTTGGGGAATCCGTGATGGTCTTCTCATTTCAACAGCTAAATTTTAGTTCTGTTGTTGTGGAAATGGATTCCTCTGTGGCTTTGCTTCTTATCTCAAACAATCACTATAAGAATCACCCCCTTATACCTTAATTTTGGATTGCAGGGCGGTGCTGGCCTCAGGTCCTCAAGTTCAACCCCGACATGTGTTCGGGGAGGCTAATATGTATGTTGATTTTCTTGCTAATATGGACCATTCTCTGCCCACTTTTTCTTACCGTTTGCTCCAATGCTATCCTTTAGGATTGGACATGCATTTGCACGCTGATATGAATGGGACTAATTAAGTCCCCAGAGGGCCCAGACTGTATTTTGTTTTGTGTTATTAATGCTATCTTCCTATCTCACCACCCAAAAAAAAAAAAAAAAGGTTAACAATGCACGCACTGAGAATAATCATCCATGAGAGAACTGTAGCATGGGGGTTTTAATAAATAAATAAAAAATCAGAAAACTACAAAAGCCACTACTTTATGTTTTTATTCAAAGTCAAAGAGCGGAATGTATATAACCTCCCATTTAATATCATATCATATTGTATATTGTTAAAACACATTGCACTAGTAAACATTGCCGCTTCCTTTTACTACAGAATTTGAATTAATTCAACCATTGTATCAAATTAATTTTGTAAATATTAAGGAAGTCTTGGCAGAAAAAGGAAATTATTGTTTATTGTATACAAGGGGAGATTTTGTTTTATTATATTTTGGCAATTTAATAAATAAATTATTAAAAGGTAATCATAAATTTCCTGAAATCCCAGAGAAAAAACATATATATATATATATATTTTTTGAACAAGGTTACAATTTTGGGGGTGGGAGGAGTCGAATCTCAACCCGAGGATTGGAGGATGCACCTTACAAACCGGCCTATGGCGTTGGGCCGTGAGGCCCAAGTGCGAAAAAACATATATTTATAAGCCCAAACCAGAGAAGTTAATTTTAGCTTCTGATTTTGATATCTGAAAAGCAAAAGAGCTTCCAGCTGCTCCAAAATCAAAAAGGTTGATTTTTACTGCCAAGCACAGAACTAAATACATAAGCAAATTTTGAATTATCAAGCACGTTCTTGACAAATTTGCAAGCAAACTGTCAACAAACAAATCAATCAATTAAGAAACAAACTCGTTACAAAAAAATGATTAGGCAAAACAAAAACACTGCCTAAACAGCGCAACCAAATTAGTGAATGTTCCTTCTGGCAAACACAAACACACCATACATCATATTACTCTCACACTATGGAAACCTAATTATACTCACAGTTGTAATCATTGTGTCGGTTAGATTTCTGTCTATGTTCGATCATCTGGTCCAGCAAGCATTACCTGTCAAGTTTCAAAACCATACTGGAAACTTAATTTCAAGCAGCAAGATAATATAAAGTAATATAGAAGAAAAGCAGGTGTAATTTTTATGAGGTTTTCCTCTAAACAGCTTTGTTGGTTCAGTCAAATCCAAAAGAAATGCAAACATGAAAATATATTTACTGGTACAAGGATAAGACTCGTAAATAGTTATCAAGTTTTGGTTTTGAGTATTGAGTTTTAGGTACCAATGCAAAAGGGTCATCCTATATGCTAACACCTCATGATTAGAAGTTTCGTGCAGAACAAAGAAGAGACCATGTGGAATATCAAATTTTCGCAATAATACACAAAGTTTTAGAAAGCTATGATAGCATGTAAGGACTGAAATAGTATGCAAAGAAAGAAAAGGAACTTACGTTGCAGTCAAGAGCATATTTTCTTGCAATCATAATGGCTGCATTTCTTTCTCGCTCTGATTCAAATGTCAATACATATGAGAGCCCCTTCCTAGGTTGCCAAAACAATGACTTGGCTGCAGCACTGCCATCACCTCTAACTCCGCATAGCTAATATTGAGTAAACCAGAAAAATATAAGAAATTTTTTCCATATAAGTTTAAAAAATCTGCACAAAATTAACCATTGGCTGGGGAGGCCCCCAGTCCCCTGAATATGGTGCAGTTTCACCATCCAATGGTCCCCTTTTCTGCA